AGTACATCAAGAAGAAGCTCAGTGAGAATCTGTCTGCAGAGAGAAGCATCAATCTGTTCCACTGTCTGAATGAACTGAATGATCGTTCTCTAGTGGAGGAGATCCAACAGTCCCTGAGATCAGGAAGTCTCTCCACAGATGAACTGTCTCCTGCTCAGTGGTCAGCTCTGGTCTTCATCTTGCTGTCATCAGAAGAACATCTGGTCGTGTTTGACCTGAAGAAATACTCTGCTTCAGAGGAGGCTCTTCTGAGGCTGCTGCCAGTGGTCAAAGCCTCCAACAAAGCTCTGTAGGTGGATTAATGAATCATTTCAGACATGTTTTATTTGTACATGATGAATTAAACACTTTGCTCATAGTCCTTTTTATTTTTTCCTCAGGCTAAGCAGCTGTAACCTCACAGAGAGAAGCTGTGAAGCTCTGTCCTCAGTTCTCAGCTCTCAGTCCTCTAGTCTGAGAGATCTGGACCTGAGTAACAACGACCTGCGGGATTCAGGAGTGAAGCTGCTTTCTGATGGATTGAAGAGTCCTCACTGTGAACTGGAAACTCTCAGGTCAGAATACAGCTATGTGTTTTCAAATTAATAGCAAATGATTGATATGTCCGTTGTGATATCACACAACATTATCCTGCTGGAAATGGTCCTTATATGATGACTGGACACTGGCCAGTTTTATTGTTCTTAGCTGACAGTGGAAGAGTGTTAATGAAACTGACCATGCAAGTACCTGTGGGCCCTTTCTCTGTATGCTCTAGAAACTGTGTGAAGATTCAAGAAATTAGCAGTTTCTAGAAATACTTAAACCACCCTATTCCTTCCCCTTTGTAATATTTGGCCTGAACAACAAATAAACCCCTTTATGTCTGCATACATTTATGCATTGAGCTGATGCAAAATGATATAGATAGGTGTTTGCTTAACTGTGACAAAACCATGTGTGTGTGTGTGTGTGTGTGTGTGTGTGTGTGTGTGTGTGTGTGTGTGTGTGTGTGTAGGCTGTCAGATTGTCTGGTCACAGAAGAAGGTTGTGCTTCTCTGGCTTCAGCTCTGAGGTCCAACCCCTCCCATCTAATAGAGTTGGACCTGAGGAACAACAACCTGCAGCTGCAGGAGTTTGGAGTAAAACTGCTTTGTGCTGGAGTGGTGGACCCTAATTGGAGACTTGATGCTCTCAGGTATGGACAGACATTAAGCTCTCACATCGTTCAGTGATAACAGCAATGACCTAAAGGTGTGACATTCCTGAAAACAATGATTCATACAGAGTGTACAGATGACTTCCACAAATGCAAAAAATGCATGAACTTTGAAACTCAGAAATTAGATATAGTGCAAAGTTGTTTTGGCTGAAAACAGATTGTAAAAAATCTACAAAAGGTTGCAAGATGTTTTGAAATTGTGACACATTATCTTTCAGTGTATATCTTATTTTCTCCAAATGTGATGTATTAGACAGTTCTCTTAGCCAACCTTGGCATTGGGTACTGTTGGTCCTTTCCATGACATCAAGAGTAATTTTTTGCAGTTATAAGAGAGTAGGAAATGATTTTTTTGTTGTGCCAGAGTCAGATTCCTGTATATTGCTGATGTTCCAAGGATGGTTAATAAGGGTTCCGGTGACAGTGTAAAATTGAGAATTTTTGACAGAGTATTAAAAGCCTTGGACCAGTGTGTGAGAATCTTAGGACAGGAGAAAAATGCATGGAACAGAGTTGCATCAAAGGACTGACATTTATCTCACGTTGATGAGGTATTTGAAAAAAATACTGTGAATTTTTTTCTTAGAGTAGTGGAGTCTATGAATGATTTTGAACTGTATTAAACAGTGTCTAGCGTTATTGGAACAGGAGTGTATATGTTCAAGTGATTCTTCCCAGATGTCATCAGGAATTTGGATGCCTACATCTTTTTCCCAACTGCTTTTGTAATTATTAGAAGAGGGAGAAGTAATTGCTAATAATTTATTGTATATGTCTGAAATAAATTTGTCTTTCTTTGTGGGTATGCTTAAGCATTCATCAATGATAGACTGTTAACCATTTGTCGCTCTAGCTGGCTAATGCTATCTGAATGGGAGGTTGCGGCTTCCTCCAAATCAGTAACTTTTACTTGTAGAGGTTGGCATGTAGCTTCAAGAGTAGCAATGGATGCATTGACGACACTGTTTGCCGTCATTATCTCGTCTCTCAAGTCATTGTACACTCGCTCAATGCGTCTGTCCAAATTCCCGCATATATCCTCTTTCATTTTGGTCATTTCACCTCTGAGCGCTGTAACAGCAGCCAGTACAGTAAGGTTTGGTGGGTCCTCATCGTCCTCGCTGGATGCATTCACTGTTTCTGCTTCAAGTGAGGCCGGTGCTTGGTCGGGGCCTACTACAGCCGTTTTAAGTTTCTTAATTTTTCCTTTCCTCATGTTGAGGTAGACGGTCAGTTTCAAAGCCAGGGGATTCACAGAGTTATTACACTCCTGTGGTGTAAAAGTCACATGGATGTTGGCCTTTGAAAGTGATTTTTAAAGGATTTAGCTGACGGACCTTTAAGAAACACGTTTTATTCCTCCATTACTCAGTGGCGCCCCCCACGTCTGTTTTCAACTTCTAACTAGGCGCATACACATGAATACAGGACTGCTGCAATTTTGGCATTCACCGAAACCTGGCTAAGCAGCAATCGCAGCGTCAGTTCTCTGCATATAGACGGCTTTGGGACACCGATAAGGCTCCACTTCACAACATATCATCTCATTGCACTTTACATATTAAGGTGAAGACCTGAAGCACTGTCCTTACGATTGTATAAACTTTTCTCCCCCCCAAGTCTCAATACAACTGCAAAGTTGTGTCATATAATTTGGGGAATTCAGACACACACAGCACTGGATTTTTGTCCACTTTGTCCTCCATGCCTCATTTTTATTAGCCACGCCGTCATAAGTCACAGCGCACAGGGGTCAAAGTTCAACAAATGTGAACATTGACTGTGGCAAGCTGTGTTTGTGCTTTGTTCGGTGCAGTGGCATGCCACTGTTGTGCGGTGCAAGCAATAGACATGAATGGTTTCATTAGAAAAAAGGCTAGACTCCTTTTTCATATTTCCACTTAATTACTAACTAAGTGGGTATGACAGTCATTTTGCATTTTATTATAAAAACTGTTGGATTCTGGGCCCCCTGTTCCAACAAAAGATGTGAGGAGAGATGTTTCTGAAGGTGACCATCAAACAAGAAGATCATCTGAAGTATACTGGTACCTTTAAAGACAGCAGTTAGGACTCTTGTTGCACTGAACATCATTAAGAAAAAAATAGCAATTTTTCCATTTTAACAAAGATTGTGCTTGTCTGTTTGTGTTTAATTTTCTAGAGTGGACAAAGGTGAAGAGTTAAAACTAACTCCTGGTCTGAGGAACTGTAAGTCTATATATAGCATCTATACAACATGTATTTGGCTTTTTTTTCTCCATTTTGATTTCATAGGATGCATGTGGTACCTGGATCAGATGTTTAGCAGTTTTGAATTAGGAAGGCTGTATGAGTCCAAGAGTAGGTTCTTCCACTTTGAATAAGTTTATTTTATAGACATGCCATCGTACGTTTACTCTCTACAGAACTGCAAAGCAGTCTGATAATATTGCACTAGACCACTGTATGAGAGACCATAATAAATGTATTTCATTAGTGCAGATATGACAGAAGGGATAATCCAAGCTAAGTTGATTTTGAGATAGCTAAGTAAACTGCATTTTGTACCTCTAGAATAACTGCAGTTCCATGCATTTCAAGCAGCTTGTTTGTACCTCGACTGAGTGAGGAGGATAAAAATTTTTTAGCAAATTAAAAAGGGAATCATGTACTTTGGTGAAATAGAACTGGTTGCTTCAGCAAAGCATTGAGCCATGTCAGTCTGGAGCTAACAATGTTTGGGCACAACTTCCTCATGTTCTTAGTGTAGCACCAAACATTTTATTTAACTTTCATGGAAAGGGATGAGTGTAGAAATTGTCAGATAAAGCTTGTCTGGGATGGATGTAATCAAGTTCGATGAGGAGGAGATTCAGTATGGGGATTATTCTTAGATGTTGTACCAACTCTCTGAGTTATGAGCATTTTTTTCTGCCCTGAGGTGAGCATGAGCTTGACGTAGAAAGGATATGCTTGAGATCCCCAGTGGCCAGAATCTTGAAAGATTTGCTACAAGATGTCAGCATGGCAGTTTAACTTCTCTATCGTGTGAAAATGATGAAATCAGAAGTATGAAATGTGACTGTAGATTGAAGCCAAGGTAGGACAAGAGACTAGGAGCAATTTATAGATACGGAACCTACCAGGATTTGGTAACGTCAAGCTAGGAAAGTCTAGGAACAGCAGGAATACTCGCGACTTCAGCTGAGTATACTTATTTAACTGTAAACTAAATTGTATAATTCATCCCACTCTCACCCAACCGGTGGAGGCAGATGGCTGTCCCTCCCTGAGCCTGGTTCTGTCGGAGGTTTTTTTTCCCCTGTGGGGGTTTTCGGTTCCTTCCCACTGTTGCGGACTGCTGAAGCTTATAGGGAATCCAAATGTTTTGGATTGTTGGGTGTTTCTGTTTCTGCCTTTGTGAAGCGCTATGAGATGACTTGTTGTTGTAAATATGCGCTATACAAATAAAATTGAATTGAATTGAATTGATTATGTAATGCACGTACGCTACAGAACACTGATACGGCATAATGGTACATGTTTACGGGGTCGTTTTACATGCAAGACAACGCGCTGTTTCCCAATATCACATGCTTGATAGGCGTATCACTGGTGGGTCACGAGTGGCACTTTACTTTCACCAGAAGCCAGTCCTGTAGAGGTGTCGAATTAACATGGTTAAGCTCAGTCGCAAACATTTATTGCAAAAACAGTTCATTGAAAAGTATTTCTGAGACCACTTGAGGCGAGAAATAAGCTGCTAAATCTGTCCTCATTTTAGTTCAACAGCTAATTTAGACGTTTTACAAAAAGTTTCACAGTCGGACTTCAGCTCGCTACGCCTCACAGAGTGTCTTGTCCTTCTCATCGACAAAGAAAAATCCCACGCCGACAGGAGAAAAAGAAAGGCGGATAATTCTGGTGGCCAAGGAGTCACGGATGTACGTCTCCATGGCAGTCTACTCAGGTTTTGACAAGTTATACAGGCGGCTACAGAGTAAAGTGGCTCCAGGCAAAAGCTCAATGGCACAGTCATACGGTCTATGGGGTGGCAAGGTCAGGGCATCTTCTTTACTGAAAACTGGAGCCAGGTCATGGTATTCTGGGGGTATCTTCAATAGATCAGTGGGTTTAGCGGGGGGGTTTCACAGTAGAATTAGCTGGCGTTAGGGCAGATTGCAAGCAGGTGGTATAGAACTGGGGGCTTCAAGAACTCACTTCTTCTTTATACCAGTCGATTTGAGGGTTGTGCTTCTTTAGCCAGGAAAATCCTAACACCTCAGAATGATTGCAACGGTCAAACATGTGAAAGAAAATGTTTTCACAATGGTTACCAGCAAAAACCAAGGTGACGGGCACAATCTGTCTTTGAACCTAGCACAGGGACAGGCCATTTAATGCACAGGTTTCTAGAGATGTTTCAAGTGGTATGGTGGGACACTGTAGCCGCTCAGCTAGTAGTTTATTCAAAAAGTTCTCTTCAGAAGAGGTTTGGCTCATCCATATTTCTCCCATAATTCCCCCAGAATGAGCCGGCTCTTTTGCCAGCCGTTTAGGACAGCGAGCGGTGAAGTGGTCTGTGCATGCATGCATTAGTGGCACGCCTCTGGTCTTTTTCCTGCTGAGTTAACTGCGCTCATCCGATCTGCATGGGCTCAGATTCTGGTTCTGACAGATGAGTTACCAAAAGTGGCGTGGAAGGTATACTGGGCTGGCAGCCAGAGGTGATGGTAAGGCACTGACTCCGCTCCATCTGTCGTTCACGAATGCGGTTATCTAACTGGATGGTTAGGGAGATGAGGGCATCCAGGTCAGCCGTGTCATCTCTGGTGGCGAGCTCATCCTTCAAAACTTCATTTATGTCTTTGTAGAATGCACCCTGGAGTGCGGCCTCGTTCCAACCGCTCTCAGCGGTTAGGAATGGAGAAGCGATCCCCAGCATCTCTTCTTCGGACTGGGTTGTCAAAAACTTTCTTCATTTCGGAGGAAAACAGAGAATAAGATGAACACACATCCAACTGTCTCTCCCAAGCTACAGTTCCCCAATCTCTTGCAGGCCCCTCTAACAGACTAACTAGATGTGCTATCTTAGCTTTTTCTGTGGCATACGACAAAGGTTGTAAATTGAAGACTAACGAAATGAACAAAAGCCTCTCACATACCCAGATCCCCACCATAGTACTCGGGTAGTGGTACAAATTGCTCGTGTATTACCTGCATCAGAACCAAATTAACATTAGCAGTAGCATCAAGAGGAGAAGCTGCAGCCTGAATACCGCTAGGTGAAGCTGACAGCTGATTTGATAGGGCAGTAACTTTACCTGTTAATTGAGAAACTTGAGATATCAAAGCAATATTACTCTCAACTAAAGATTTAATCAAACGATCGTGCTGATTAAGCAGCGCACCATGACTGGCCATGGCTTGTTGAAAACCAGGCCTGGAGAACACTTGATCAGCGCCGGTTATATTGTCTGCTTAGCTCATCATGGCCAGACTGTAATGTTACAGAACAGTTTCAGAGGCACCTTTATCTGTAGTCTGCCATGAAGAAAACTGAGATCAGCAGTTGACAAACGATCAGTCAGGTATAAACAGGGTTAACAGGAGATCAGATATGTAATTGAAATGTGATTCACTCCCAGATCTGACTTAACAAGATATCATTAGCATGCGTCTTCTAATAACCTTTAAATAGTCACTCTACTTATAGATCAACAAATAATAAACCTGTCCGTTGCATTAGATGATAAACTGCTTTATTATTGTCTGTTCATTCTTCATCAGATGCCTGTAAAATCACTCTGGATCCAAAGTCAGCACACAGAAACCTCGAACTGTCTGACAACAACAAGAGAGTGGAAACAGTGGACGAGCAGCAGCCGTATCCTGATCATCGAGAAAGATTTGATACCTTCTGTCAGCTGCTGTGTAGAAATGGTCTGACTGGGCGCCGATACTGGGAGGTCGAGTGGAGAGGAAAGGTTGATATAGCAGTGTCTTACATCATGATCAGGAGGAAGGGATACAGCAGGACCTCCAGGTTTGGAGGGAACAATCAGTCCTGGTGTCTGAGCTGCTCTGATGATTGTTACTCTGTCTGGCACAACAACACAGAGACGATCACTCCTCTCCCTCCCTCCTCCATCTCTCACAGAGTAGCAGTTTATCTGGACTGTCCTGCTGGCACTCTGTCCTTCTACAGAGTCTCCTCTAATAAACTGATCCTCCTCCACACCTTCAGCACCACATTCACTGGACCTCTGTATCCTGGGTTTAGAGTCTGGACTGGTTCAGTGACTATATGTCCAGAGACTGCTGCAGAGTCACAATGATGACTGAAGAATGCCCTTTTAATCCAAACGAGAGCTCATTCACACTATAGCCTGTGACACTAGCAAACTGAATAACTGATCAGGAAGGCTGGCACTGTGCTTTTGTTATGCAAAAGTATCTGGATGAACCAAAGGTAATTTTGAGCAGAGTAGGTAGTTTTTACTAATGATGTGTTGATTGCAAAAAAGTGGACTATGATCACTCTGTGAACGATGGGAGTTAGCTCCTGTCTGAGAACAAATCTCTTTTTCTCTTTGTCTTTTTTTGTTAATACGAGACAGAGTAAAAGGATGGTCTTTTTGCCATCCTGATCAGCCACATGTAGCTTATTGCACAGACTGAATGTTGTGTTGATGTGTCATGTGACCAGTCATGAGTGATGACGGACATCATTTAATACACGTGTGTAACACTGTTTGATTGTTTTACATTCATGTTTTTATACAAAACAACTGTAAAAGAATGATGTTGTGGAAATTATTGGATGAAGTATAAAATATTGCTAAATTTAACTGAATCATCAAAGCTGGAATTGGTACCAAATGAAGAGCCATTTGAGAGCCAAAAGAGTCCAGAAGGATCCATCTGCAGCCTCCAAGTCTCCTATTTTATAGTAACGTGACGTTGTACACCCAGCACTGCTGAATAAAACACCTACTACAACACGCAGCTACTAAGCTACCATTAGTTGGTTTAATGCCAATGTATTTGATATTTAGCAGACTTTACCTGAAACATGGCAACTGTCCATGGACTGTATATTGTGTATGTGGTCCGTGAGCATATTATACAGTTTTGTGTCCATTTGAACACATGCAAGGAGAAACTACACATAGTTGGGAAAACATGATTTGATAAGTTTACATGAAATAGGGCAGTTTAACATCAACTGCACTCTGGTAGTTCTCCACACTAGACTCAAACACAGCACCTCTGACCCTCTGATCCACCTCCACACCTTCAACACCACATTCAATGAACCAGTCGACCCTGGGTTTGGGTTCCTGTTTGGTTCTTCAGTGTCACTGCACGATATAAATGTATATATGTATATATAAATATATAAAACGGTATAAAGTGTGCTTAATTCTTGTGTTATTTAAATAATATTTGTCAGTAACTGGGTATTCAGCATTTAAGAAACTGTTAAAAGTGAAGATAACTGATCAAGTAGATGAAATTAAAATTATTTTATTTTTATATCTGTTTTTCTCTGGAATTTATTTCGTCGGGCATCGTAAATATAAGATTTTCATATATATAGTAAATATCTGTCTTGTTTTTGCTATGATTTTCTCTGTTTTGCTATGTGATAAAAACAACTTTCCCAAGTGAGAACAATAAAAAGATGAAGCCAGTAATTCACTTATTGTCACAATAATTGTCACTTATAGCAGCAGCAGACGTGGCAGTAACAATAGAAATGCTGATGTTAAGCACCTTTCAGGTAACTCAGAAATGAACAGAATGAACTCAGCAGCACTGAAGGCTCTGTGAGGCTCTGAAGAGCACAGCGTCTGATTCAGACAAGATGTAATCAATGCATGAATGAGGGTCTGGAAAAGTTCCTCAGGTGGAAGGAATCAGACTTGGCGATGGATTTTCAGCATGATTCATATGTAACGTGGTAAACAAAGGCGACACCCACATTATGGACCTCTGAGGAAAGACAAAGTAATCAGCGGTCAGTGGGAGCAAATCACAAACTATTCAGAATACAAGCTTGGATGCCACAGCCATGACTTCTGAGCATGCTGCGTTTTATGTTTCTTGTCCTACAAGGAGTTGATGAATGTATCATTGACATGGCTCATTATGTGTCCAAATGGAAACACACTGATGCTGAAAAGAAACAGCACAAGCACTAAGCTTTAGAGTATCCCTTATTTGACAGGTTTTGTAGTGCATGGCAGGTGAAGATGACGCTATGGTAGAAAGTGTCAAAGGTAGCTGAGATGTTGAATAGAATAGGTGTGTTGGACTTGATCAGTTGTTAACTGAAGCAATAAAAAAAGAGACATAAAAGAGTTTTTAAAAATAAATAAATAAAAACTAAATGCACAAAGCAGAAGGACACAGGCCAGTGAACAGGAGGTCTGACATGAGAGACGTAAACTGGGTAAAGAACAGAACAAACTGACAAAGACAAGAAAAGACAAGACTATTTAAATACTGAAACTGACTGGGGTGACGAAACACAGGTCAAACTCATCAGAGCAAACAAAAGGGAGGAAAAAGATGTACAAAGAACAGAAGTAAAAACACAAGTGACTGCAATTTCAAAATGAAACAGGAAGTAACTGAAAAGGCACATGAAACCTACACCGACAAACAAACAGATGCAGGAAACTCAGAAAGAAAAACAAAAGAATAAATGACAAAAACAAAATAAATCCAGAAACCAAAACCCAAGTCCATGACAAATATTTATCAAGGTCAGATAACATCGCTGTTCCACCCATATGGAAGGCCAGTCACGGCTACAGAGGCATGACGATGTGCACGGATCCATCCATCCATTATCTATACAACATTTAATCCTCACTAGGGTCATGGGGGGCTGGAGTCTACCCCAGCTGACTCAGGGTGAAGGCAGGGGACACCCTGAACAGGTCACCAGTCTATCACAGGGCTACACTTAGAGACAGGCAACCAAGCACACTCACATTGAACACCTACAGACAATTTAGAATCACCAATTAACTTCAACATGGTTTTGGACCTTGTGGGAGGAAGCCGGAGAACCCGGAGAGAACCCACGCTGCACGGGGAGAACATGCAAACTCCACGCAGAAAGATCCCGGGTGTCCTCACCGTGACCTGAACCGGGGTCTTCTAGCTGCTAACCATTGAGCCACCATGCAGTCCTGACCCTGCTACCATTTGAGCTAATTCTCAGGTGAAATAAGACAGAAACATAAAATCAACATTTTTAAAAAAAGCAAGAAAAAAAAAGTTTATTTGTACATAACTGTGCAAACCATCTGCATTTACTGATTGCTTTGACTTGTCAGTGAGTCAACTGAATGCACCATTAAGTCGGTATTGCAGAATTTTTTCAGAATGCTTGTGTAAAGTGGTAAATCACCTGCAGGATCTGACTGACTGTGAGCAGGTTTTGGTGACTTCAGGCCTCAGGATGTTTGTGAATTTGGCCACAGATATGTAGTTCTTTAAACTGCCCACTAGCACTAACTAGTGGACAGTTGATAGAACTACATCTGTGACCTTTATGACTGACAAATTAATCAACGTACGAAGTCATTACATTTTGAAAATGTTATCAGACACAGTTACAGATGGATCATATGAGGCAGATAAGTAAGAAGAACAAGGAAACAGATTCATCTGACTGCTGGAAACCTGCCACATGTTAAACAGTATCTGACATCAGTCTGATGACTTTTCTTAGATTTGGACTCTGCAGTTATGAGGATGTGACGGTTTCCTCACATTAATTGCACACAGACGGCAGGACTGACGACGGACAATGAGCAGCTTCTTCTCTCTGAATGTTTCCTCAACACACAAAGGTGGAAAGTGTCTGAAGTCGATCTGAAGTGAGTTGAGCAGGTGAGAATTCTACCAGAGGAATCTGTACATGTCTGATGAACGGGATCACTGTAATCATGCTGTGGTGCATTAGACTGACTCAGTACAAAAGCTTCCTGGTGGAGATTTGTTGCTTCAGTGTATCTTTTTATTCTTGCAGATCAAATATTCTTAAAATAATTGTTGGATGATTTAAATAGATCACTGAAAAATACTAGATTATAATAATAGATTATAAGGTTGCAGATAATTGATTTTTTTATGTATTGTTGAATTGTAATTTTAACACAGCAGAGTCAGTTTTAATCAGATGTTCACATTGTGTCGTATCACTGACTGACCTGTAGGAGTCTGTCTTGATCCTGATCGGCTGTCTTAATACATGTGTTTCAAATTTGCTGTAGAGTTTATATGTGAGTTAAAGTACAATGAATGTTGGATGATTTACTCGTATCACTGTTCGTGGTTACTGGGGGGAAAAAAACCTGCAGTTTCATTGTGATCTGATCTTGAACTTAATTGAAAAATGTCAGAACTGGTTTGACAGCTTGGATCAGCTTGTTGATAACACACTGAGACAGATTTGTTTTCTCTGCAGCACATTTTGCAGTTTGTGTCTGTACTTTCCCAACAAGGATGTAAATGTTTTCTAGATTGACCTGAACAGCCCCAAGTATAAAGAAACTCTGTGGCCCCTGAGGGTCCCTCAGCCGTCCACACAGGAACACAAAGAGAGTCATCCTGAATGTTCTCTGTCTGTCTGATAATTATTTAATGACACATGCAGATAATGAAAAACAGACCTTAATTTATTCAGCATACATATTTTTACAAATTGCACTCTGTTCGTCAGCTAATAACAGATGACCAATTTGGAAGCACACATTTGACATTACATCAGTTTAATGATAAAAATAAAGCAGAAATCTGTAGAGGCATTACTACATTTGGGGATTGCTGGAGAATCCTGAATATTTGTGCCATGTCAGTGACAGTAATGACAATTATTGTGTTGTGTGATGTGAATGTTGTTGTGTTTGTGTGAAGGTGTGGCTCTGCTATGGATCAGTGTGAGGACAGAGAGGAGGGAGTCCCTCCCTCTAAAACCACTCTGTGGGGGGAACATGAGAACCAGAGCAAAGCTCAGAGGTGAGATGAACATCTCTAACTGTTACTTACTGTAAAATGTACTTGAACATCCAACACAGATGATGTACTCTTGGTCTCAAATGTTTATCAGTTTTGAATTTTCTATCAGGATTCGTCAGCGGGTGACTGACTCTCCTGAACCCAGCTGTGTTTCCATGAAGAGTTACCCGTCAATGTCTCGACCTACTGCCTTCAAAGAGAGTCACTACTCATCTGATGAAGAGTAAGAACACAATCCTGTCAGTCAGCAGTGGCGACTAGCTCCTGATTGCAACTGACAGACCAGGACCTCAGGGTGTTATAGAGCAACATGTCTGCTTCATGGCAGCTCCAACTGCAGCCTAACGTCTTGGAGCCTGATATCACAGGACTCCTTCAGGAGTAGAGTCCAGACCTCAGAACATAAGAGCTGTTTTAATGGCAACAGGAACATGCACATACACTATTCAAGTCTATCATAAAAGTACATGATATTTCCTGCTATATTGATGACTCTCTTAAGCTTTAAATAATCAGTTTTGTGTTTTTATCAGGATCTATCAGACACCAAACTCACCTGGACCAAGCTGTGTTTCCATGACGAGCGACAACTCAATGGATCAACCTGCTGTCTTCAAAGAGAGACACTACTCAACTGTTAAAAGGTGAGAATTTAATATGACTGGGTCTCTTATTGTGCACAACTCATGTGATGGTGTCTGAGCCTAGTTTAAGGGAGGGGCAAAGAGGGGAGCACCACAAATGACTTTTAAAGTACAAAATCTAAGATGACTCAAGGCTATGTACATAAACTGTAAAGCAGTGATGTGTCAATTTTCACAGTTATAACTGCAAAGTCATCAAGTGATTTGATGTATTCATGACCCATCTGTCCTCATCAAAAGTCTCTGTCATAGTTTCTGTCACTCTTGGAAGAAGAATAACTTACCTATAAAGCACTTATAAACAAAACAACAAAAGTGTTTTTGACAGACCCAGCAAAAACAGGATACCCAGAAGGCAACAAAACAAGTGAGAAGATACAATTAACAGATGCAAAACTGCAAACCACAGTATTTTGCATTAACATTAGTTATTGATATTTACAGTATAAAGTACATTTAAAACAACGGCTGCTGAGCAGAAATCCTTTAGAGTCCAACATCCCTGAGAAACGTGTTTGACTTGGTGCAGAGAATGTGTACATAGCTCTCACTTTAGTTGTACAAGGACTAAATGGCTCATGACAATTATCCTGGTACCCCATACTCCCGCAGCACCCCCTACCAGGCCCCCAAGGGAAATAATCATATACCTTTTCCAATTTGCAAAGCACATGAGGACCACTTGGTCGAATTCCTATGACACCTTCAGTAGCTCTGCAAGGGTAAAGAGCTGGTCCACTGTTCCACGGTCAGGACGACATCCTTATTGCTCCTCCTGAATCCGAGGTTCTACAATCGGTCAGAGCCTCCCTTCCAGCATCCTAGAGTAAATTTTCACTGCTGGTGTCCACCAACAGGTTCTCAAGTAGCCGCCACAACAGGCACCAGTGACTATCTGAACGCAGCTCCTAACGATCACTTCTGCAATGGAGGCTTTGACAATGGTCCACTCAGATTCCATGTCCCCAACCTTCCCTGGGATACAGGAGAAGCTCCTCTGGAGTTGGGAGTTAAAG